AGAGGGCGAGCATGTTTGGTGGGACGGGGATTCGAACCCGCGATCCGCAGCTTGCGAGTCGAGCGCCCTAACCACCTGGCCATGCTGGGCCATGTACGGAATTAAAGTAGACATACCACGGAACCGTCTTCCGTTGGGTCAACGGTAAGTTTAGGGAATTACAACGCTAAAATACGGGGTTCGATTCCTTGCGGTAGAAAGAGCGTAGATAGTCCATGGTGTAATTTTGTGCTAAGACAAACCCCTGGTGGCTCAGCGGTAAGTTTCGGGTCTTTTAACGCTAGAATTGAGAGATCGATCCCTGTGCTGGGCACAGCGCAGCTAGCCCACTGTGCAACTTTCCAATTATAATTGTCTATTCCGTTTCTTAGGCGAAAGTTGAAGTAGTTGGTGCAGAGTTTCAAAACCAAATTCAAACATAAACAATTTATAAAAACGTTAAACCTCGGAGTTCAGGAAACGTTTTTTTGTTTGTTTTTATTTGTTCATATTACAAATTATGATCCGATCATAAATTAAAGTGAAGCATGAAATTCAAAAATATATATTTATCGTTACAGTTATAAATGTTTTTTCCCTACAAATTAAAGTATGAATTGGAAAGTTTAAAATAAAAATTTTCTAAACAGCATTTAAATACTGATTACCTGTCAAATACATAATACGTTTGCTTCACGATTGACACTGAATCAATGATATAATAAAAACTAAATATCACAATGTTAATACGTCTCTATAAAGGAGCGTTTAACATGTGTCTTAGATGTACCAATGTAACATTAAAACTATTCAAGACTAAGTAAATAAAGCGTTTTTTTTCAGACGTTATGTCTACAGTCTGTGGAATTTTTGTATTGTATTAAGTTTGTAGTTAATGTTAAAAATATTTTGACATTTATGGTAATTTAAAAGACTTTCTAAGTACATTTCATCTGAAGTGTTCGTAATAAGATCATTTATTTTATGCCCCCCAGTGGCACAGCGGTATGTCTGCGGACTTTCAATGGTAGAAACCGGGTTTCGATACTCGTGGTGGGCAGAGCACAGATAGCCCATCGTGTAGCCTTGTGCTTAACAACATAAGTTATTTTATATCCCGAGTATATTTAAATCTTTAAAAAAAATTAAATTTAAAAACAACGTGTATTTTTATTTTATATAAATTTTAAAATTAAATTTCTTAGTTTTCAAAAACTTGTTTATTATCTTTTCTACAGTTTTCTTGCACATATGTGTAACGCAAGTACCAAGATGTGTTCTGCCCACCGCGGGTATCAAACCTCGATTTTTAGCATGAGTGAAAAGCTTTCCGACCGCTGAGCCACCAGGGTGTTCATCTATAAAAGAATGTGCCAGTCCCTAAATGTAACATTCAGAAAGTTCTGGAACATTGAGTCTTTACAAATGAGGAACTTGACCAGTGGTAAGACCCATATATATATGTATACACACTGTACAGTATCCTAAAATAGAGATTTAGTATAATTAATTATATCTCGGTTAGTTGAAGGACGCTTCAGTGAAATATTAGGTTTCACACAACTTTTAAAGTGTCGTCGGTTTCAGAATATAAGAAAGGTTCTTCTAAGTAATATTGTTGATGTCTCTTCTAGTGCTGATCTACAAAAACACGACCATAATTACACAAGGACACTGTATACTTCTGTGACCTGACACTCTACACAAGAACACTGTATACTTCCATGACCTGACACTTTACACAAGGACACTGTATACTTCTGTGACCTTAAACTCTACACAAGAACACTGTATACTTCTGTGACCTGACACTTTACACAAGGACACTGTATACTTCTGTGACCTGACACTTTACACAAGGACACTGTATACTTCTGTGACCTGACACTCTACACAAGGACACTGTATACTTCTGTGACCTGACACTCTACACAAGGACACTGTATACTTCTGTGACCTGACACTCTACACAATGACACTGTATACTTCTGTGACCTGACACTTTACACAAGGACACTTTATACTTCTGTGACCTGACACTTTACAATTTTCAGCATTTTCAAGAGCGTATAAAACGTCACTGTTCCAAAAAAAATATATCAAAAGGGCGTCATTTGCTATCAGTAAATAATTTAAAAAAAAATAGTGATCAACAAGAAATCCGGTAAACTTTTTGGATTTACACATGTGTTTTCCGTTTCCCAGTATCCTATTAATGGAAACTAATATCTGATAGTATCCCAAAAAAAAAACTGAAAAGAAACTTCTCCGTATACACTTTTAGAGAGGTATAAGGTTTTGTACGTATTCTGTGTACGTGTACGTCACAACTGTTTCAAGTTGCTCTTTGTATCCCAGGTTTATTATACCATCCATGGTTGGTAGTTGTGTGCTTGGCTTATCAGTGGTTCGAGACTGCGACAGACATATAAATTGTTTCGTATAGTTTCAAAACTACAGCAGATTCTAACCAGTTAGAGCGACATTAGAGATTATGCCTAGTTGTTGGAACATAACGGCTTAAAAAAAAAGTATTTTTCAACGAATATTAAAAACAACGCAGTTTAAAATTACTTACTTATTAAGTCATGAGATGTCCTAGTAATTTGCATAAATATATTTATATTTTATTGTTTATAAACTGAACGCTCAGTCTAGGGGCGGGAGGGGGGCTTATTTGAAAATATAAAATTTTTATATGACTTTTTTTTTCTTTAGCGATGTATATCTCTGCGCATCCTAAATATATAATTTAATTCCAGGCGAGATATGTCACTCATGCGTACCTCGGTAAACGATGATTGGACGACGTCGTACATAAGGGCTGAGCCAAGGAACGAATAAAGGGGCGGAGTCTTTAAAGTTGTCATTTCCTACCTTCCGTTAATTAATTGGCCCTTTTCACCCGTTGTCAAAGTAGCAAAATGGCCGTGTTAGATATAATTGCGTATTTTATTGGGAAGGTTTGTGGCAGTGAAAGGATTAAACCGTTCATGTTTTGTTTTACACAGGAATGAACAGATTTAATACCGTCATTATAGATTACTCCATTAAAACTTCAATCATTTCTTCACACACACAG